AAAAAAAATGTATGGATGGTTTGCAAATAATTCTTGTTTGTCTTTCTTTCTTTAGGGGGCTGTCAGTTGGGCATCCAGGCTAAAGGAGAGTGTTTGAAACACTGGTACGAATGCCTCAAGAATAAAGACAAGAAAATAGAGCGCTGGCATGTTCTGCTTAACGACAACACCGTCCAGTTTGAGGATTAAATTAACCTTTAATTATTCAATTGTCTTCTGTGCTATTTTAGGATGTCCCTACCCAATACTGTTTTTCATTTCATTAAGGATGAACAACTCCTTTGCATTTTGTTTTATGTTTTTCTTTCTAGAAGTACAATGTGAATTTTAAATATGTTGTGACAAACATGGATGTCGATCTAAAGTAACCCCCTACCCGCACACCCACACCTCCTAAACTAATCCAGGAAACCTATCATATCATATCCTGCATAATATGATAAATGAGCCGCTGAACTGAGCGTTTATCATAATTCAAGGGGAAGATAAAGTTTTTGTTATCACTGTTATCAGGCGAGAACGTTGTATTGAAGTTTGCACAGATCCTCAGGCTCAAAGGAGGGAATTCCCGGTTGTCTGTCTGTCCTTTGTTCACCCCATCATACTATTCCAGTGACCACGTCATTACTGGGTGAAGAGGTCAGCTTTCCTGATATATCTAATCACATTGTGTTAGTTGATGTGTGATGTTATTCTGGTCTGTGCATCATCCAAAACAAAACAAACAAAAGATTTTTGTATTTTATTTGTGCTTTTGTGCCAAATGACCATGCATCTCAATTTCGATAAATGGATCCAAGACTAGTTGTACATGTTGGCCTAAATATAATGTAATTTTCCTATTAACTTAAAATTTGCCATTTATGAAATGTAAAAACTCATAGTTACCTCTAAATGATCCTGTGTTAGTTATATTTTTCATTCATATGCTGAGTTCGGACTCACCGGCTGGAACCTCCCAAGGTAAGGTTACGTCATAGCATGGCGCCGAGGCCTGTTAGGATTGGAAGACTCCTCGTTATGCGGCCAACAAATGCAGCCTTCTTTTTCCCCATTTTGAAGGATGGGTCTGGTGTGTCCTACATAGCCTTGGGTTTCCCATGATTCATTGCGAGTCCAATCAAGCCGGCTGCTCTATGCTAAGGGGAAAAAGGGAAACGTCTCCAAAAAATGGTGAATATTGTAACTGCAGTTTAATATGCTACAACTGAATAGTTCTGTCTTAAATTAATGAAAATACTTCATTTAAATTGTTGGTCAGTCAGATATGTGGCGGTTATGTTTGGTGTATTGTAAAGTTTTATCTGTCTCTGTGCAAATGAGTTAGTCTAACATTTAAGCACAGATTACAATATCTCTTCAGTGTGGTGACCCAGAACAGTAGTGAGAAATTGGGTATCCATTCTTTGCCTGCTTTGTGTGTCAACTGTAAAGGTTGCTAGGCGACAGAGTTTACAGTGGAAAGGTGAAGACTGGACCTGATTAAATCCATAGCCTAAATTCTTTTGGCCTCTTATTTTTGCGGACATTGATGAACCCAGTCCAGGTAGACCGGGTCCTTCGGAAATTGAATGCACTGTCACTAGCCGATCCGTCCCGGAAGCACGATCCGTCCTGCGCATGCGCAAAGAGATACAGTATTCATCCAGGTGTCCATAAATGTAAATGTAATGTAAATATGGTACTAAAATTACTTATTTATATCCTTAACTCTCTAAAGAATGCTAATACACATCTTTAAAAAATGTTTATGACTTTTGTGAGACAATTTTTTACATTTTCTCCACGAAAGGAAAACATAAAACTCAAAAAGAGTGGATTGATGTTTAAATCCAAAGCTGAAAAATTAGCCACCGGAAGTAGCGCAGGATCCCATTTCTGGTACAGATCTGGCAGAGACGAGTGATAAAACAGAAAGGACTTTATGGCATTTATTTCATCAGGAAATACATTATATTTTAGTACTTTTACTATTTTTGGAGAGGGAAAAACGCCATTTAGGTCTTTTTAACAAAATAAAATCGAAGTCGACCCGGATGTATATCTGGCCCCCAAAAGCAGTGTCAGCATTTAAATGTCTACGTTCATCCCCCATGCTGCTCTGTTGTCTCCCACTATCTTCTCCGTGAGCAGAACTTGGCTCAACCAATGGGAGGAGGGTATTCTGGATCGCTACATATATGTTGTCAGCTCAATGGTCACAACACAGGACAGGGCCCGGGAACAAGTTTACTGTAAGTTTTGTATCTAACGTGCCCTTGTTCTTCATTTTCCATTAGCTTTTTACTGACTATTTTTTACTCTCACAGTAATACGGGACAAAGTGCTTTCCGTTTCCACTAAATACTTGACAGGTACTTCTATTTCTAAATATGGAACGATTCCATTTTTCAATTGACGGTTTGCAGCCCTCCTTAATTGTAAACTGGAGCTCTTTTTGGCTTATGTAAATCTCCATCTGAGAAAGCATCTCCTAACAACAGCTGTACAAACACCAGCTTCTTCAGCCGACTCTCCAGTTCCTCTGTTTGGTCCTCCTTATCTTCTTCATCTTTTGTGTTTTCTACATTGTCATAAATTTCAAGAAGATCCCTTTCAATCTGAAAAGTTTTTTTTTTTACTTCATTGCTGTTTTATCACTACAGGACCTGGCATAGGTAATTTATCCAGAATGCATTGCAGCATAACACATGACAATATTTGATTTAGATTTATTAAAACTGAGCAGCTCACAGTATTGAAAATTAATATTTTGACAATAAGATCTATTTTGACAACTAGTCATGGATCCTTTTTAATTATACATTTCAGAAAAGATCAAACAAGTTCTTTGGGTCCTTGCAGCTCACTTTCCTGCATGCATATGCTAGCAGTCTGTTTCTGCAGGAGAAATTAAAAAAGTAAATTAAAGCTTCTGCATGATGCTTCACTGTAAAACCACCTATATTTGACCATACAGAACTGTGGTGAGCGAAAGACATCATTAATAATTCCTGTTAAAACTTTCCCAAATGCTCCTCTACCCTGTACACCTGTATTCTTGCTGATGCATGGATGAACCTATGTTTTTGCAAACATGTGGCTAATTAATAAAAACATGATGGCAGTTGATTCTGACAAGTGTTTTCTTTTTTTTTATTCTGTGACATGGTATAAACTTTGTCTGAATCAGGTGAGGTCTGATCCAATCAGCTCATGCAGACACGCAGATGAGAATAAGTGGACTTTGACTTTTTTGATAATGCAGCGTCTCTCCAAGTGTGTGAAAGGTCACATGCCTGATTTACTCTGTCTGACCTTGAATCCACTGTAAAGTAAATACAGATATCGACCCAGCAGCAACAGCTGATCCTACTAGGAAAAAATGTAAGCACATTCTTACATGAAACTTAATATTATAATAGATCAATGCTTAAACTGATCAGAGCAAAAAAAGATGAAAAATCTAAATGATAGGCACAAAGAGACACAAAAAATGAAGTAATTATTATGATGTAGGATTATTACCCCATTAAGAAATTGTGTTTTATTTATTGATTTCAGGTCCATTAATTATAAAAACACATTTAATACTATATATGTGCTACACACTACCAAAACAGATCAAACCTACAAAAAAAAAAAAAAAAAAAAAA